ATATATAATGTGTAGCCACAGTGTATATACATGTGTACATGCACATATATGTGTGTGTGTATACACACACATATATATATATATATATATATATATATACGTATATACACAATATACGTATTTTGTGTATATTGTGTACACACACATATATATACGTATATACACAAAATACGTATATTGTGTATATACGTATATATACATATATACGAATATACACAATATTTTTTCACTCAGTGGCTCAGCTCTTCAAACTATGACACTACAGACACCCCTCGAGCGTCATGCAGGGCTCCGTGGTCAACTTAACAACAATAAATATGTCTGGTTATACTTAACATTGTGAAACATTAAAACTTTGGTCAGTGATAGAAAGAATAACTCCTTGGTTAGCTTCAGGAAAAGGTTACTTGATGCAACTTTAGTTAACTTATGTACCCAGCTTTGCTCTGTTTTTTATTTTATTGTTGCACTTTTTTAAATTTTAATTTGTTTTAATGATATTTATTTTTTGCAGTTTTATTGTATCACCTGTAACATTAAATACAAATGAAATATGTGCAAGTGGAATTAATACTAAGACTTAGTAGTCGGGCTTACCGTGAGTACAGATAACTATTGAATCTGGAGCATCATTCTGAATATGACATATAAACATGTGCCAGCCTTTGACCAGACTATGCTGGTGGGTTGACCTTTCTTCAACCGAAACGGCATATCTCATAAATTAGGTTTGCTTCATATAAAAAGGGGTCTGGATGTAAGAGATTGGAGACTTCTTGTGGGTTGAACAGGTGCATGTTGTATTATAGAGTAGCCCGTCCCACTGCAGTGCATGCCAACAAGTTTTCAGGTTTCCTGCCATAACAGGATTTCTCGGAATAATTATGCTTCTTGTGTGCATCTAAACATATTGATCGACCTAAAGCGTGAAAAGTGAAGGCCCTGTTTGCTCACTGCAGTAGGTGCCTGCGGCTGGAGGTTGATGTGTTGGGACTAAACTGCACCTGAACCATGTATACTGGAGCTATGATCCCTCTGCCTCCAGCTCTGTTTAATCCCTGGACAAACCTGCTGAGATGAAGACTGTATGTGTAGGAACTGAAATGAAGATAGGCCTTGTTGGGTCAGGTGCTACTATAAATTCTTAAGGATATACTTGTTAAAAAAAAAAAGCTAATAAATCAATAGAAAAAAGAAAATTACTGTGCCCACTTACACTTGTTGCCTTTGGTAATCTCACAGATTGTTTATAGTTATCATGAGACGACATCCTATGTAATAAATAGTGAAAAATTCACCTCATTGTGACCTTTACTGCAGTATTTTTCCTCTTTCTGTACAGTGTGATTAATAGCAGATTGAAGAGATTACATTGGAGCCATCTGTGCCTAGTTCCACCCAATGAAAATGTGTACGGCCACACATCTGTATTAAAAAAACTTCACATTACAAAAAAAATCTTTTATATTGTGAAACCCACAGACATGCATGAATTTAGTGCAGTTAAATGTGGAAGAACATGTGAAATATCATTGGTACCCATGCACAGACATACAGGCAGCTCCTCTTGCATTCAGTAAGCAAGGTATTTCATTATGCCACTGGGATCCATAACCTGAAACACATACAATCTCTTGTAACATGCTGCAGGGCTGGCAGTGCAACACAAACAGTCTCCTGGGGTTGCAACACCAGAAAATAAGGGTCTGCTCCTTAAAAGGTGTCACAGATAAGAAACATTGATCACAGTCATCATATATTCTTCAGGGTGAGTAAAAACCATACAGTAGCATCAAGCACAACCTACAACAGGATATCAAACAGCTGAGTGATTGCCTGTTTCTCTGTGGACCAGCAGCAGGATTTTGTAATACATATCCTTCTCCCCAAAGGGACGCTTGGTTTGCATCTCATCTCTGCTCACACTGCTGTTCAGCACTAGATTGAAATTTTCAATCATTTCATTCTTGGCTCTTATCCCTATCTCATTCAACTATATTTGTCTTTGAGTGCAAACCCTTCACGTCTGGAACAAAAAAATCTGAGACTTTTTTTTTTTTTTTACCTTATTCCTTGACACAATAGAGTAGGATTGGTATGTCAAAGTAAATTACTCTGATTAGCATGACTCCCATACTCAATCCAGTGTACTGTAATAATGCGGTTATGCTTAAAACACAGATGCAAACAACTGTAAAGAATTTGATGCTTTCTGATTCTAATACTTTTGTCTTAGGTGCATCGTCTTATCTATAATCCTTTGATTAGTGCTGTGACGAGGAAAGGTTGTGAACTAAGCATGACGAACGTGACAGTCACAAGCACGCTGCAATTTACTGGAAGAAAACACATTTAAATAGATGAAACACAATCAAATGAAGAAAACCTGTTAACCAATATGCAGGATAACAAAATACGCTGCAAATATAGAAAACACAACCCAACTCAGACAACACAACCAAATACAGAAATGCTGCAAGTTGCACAGAAGTTGCTATGGTTGTGGATCACAGAGTTACTTATTCCAGTTATTTAGCATTATAAATAATATAATCTAGCGGTGTAGTTTGCAACTCCCTTGCTTCACCCGCCTCTTTCAAGCATGCAGGAGAAACTATCTAAAGCCTA